CTGAAGCCAAGGCCATTTCTTAATTGGACTGAGCAAACAAACCTGAATTCTGCCTTTTTTTTTTTTTTTTTTTTTTTATATACACTATACCTCCTCCTCTTTTCCACGTGAGCGACCCCTCGTTCCACATGCTGGAGCTGGTAGAGGTGTCACCCCCAGAAGAACAGCTTGTGAGCCAGTAACTCTTCTAACTGTATATTTTTCATTTAGCAACATATATTTTCTTACTGAAGAGAAACTAGTTTCCTGCTTCCAGACCAGACCCGCAGCCAGGGGGTTAATGAGATCTGGCAAATATCTATTTTTCAGGCTGGGTTTTAAGGCTCTAATGAATTATCTTACTCCTGCAGTGCCATTAAAGTTCTGTAATAAAACTTCTATCAGGGCAAACAGGCTCTGGGTGTTTGGGGTGGATGGGGAGGGGTAAGGGTGCATCCCTGGAGGCAGCAGAGCCTCCCCCGTGTTGTGACAGGACAGAGGTGACCTTGGGCTGCTCTGGCCACCTGTCCCCGCTCTTGATTAGGCTTTGGCTCTGTGCCTTTCCTCCGGTGGAAGCCGTTTTTGGGATCTGAGCTCAGCGGGGCTCTGTGGTGATCCCACGCTGTGGCATTCCCCAGGAATCGATCCACGCTGGAGCTCTCAGGGCTGTGGTGCTCCTGCCCCCCTCCCTTACCCGGGATTGCTCCTTCACCCCTCCCAGCCTCGCGTGTGCGCTTTATCAAAACCGATACCCGCTCAAAAAGCGAAAAGGCAGCTCGGGCTGACTTCCCTCTTTCCTTTCCCCTAATCCCTGGAGCCGGCTCCCTGCGGCGCCTCCGCGGCTCCCTCAGTCTGCGCTCTGGGCCCGCCGGATCCCCCCGGGGTGCCGGGGCCCTGCCCCGCCGGGGGCGCTCGGGGCGGTCCCTGCCCGGCCCCGGCCCCGCTCCGGGCCGTGATCGCCGTGTCCCGGCCATGATCGCCGTGTCCATCCCCGCGGCGGAGCCCCCGGCGGCGGCAGCGCGCAGCCCCGAGCGGGCGCACACGGTGAGGGACGGGACGGGACGGGGCGAGCGGGACTGGGCTGTGCCCTCAGGGAACGGGGCTGAGGGCGGGCGAGGGTGGCTCCTCCTGCCCCGGGAGCTGGGGGTCGCCGCTTGTCCCCAAGTGTCCCCCGCCCCTCCCTGCCTTCCCCCGGGGCTCCCTGCTCTGGGGGGTCCCTCCCTGGCACTGGAGGTCCCCAAGTTCCCAGCGGGTGTCACCCTCTGCTCCCGGGGGATTTGTCGCTCTCTGCCTCAGGAGTCTTCCACGTGCCCTGGGAATGGAGGTCGCTGCATGTCCTTGGGGCCTCTCTGCCGGGAGCAGACACAGAACCCCTGCCTTTGACAGGGGGTGGCTGTCTCTGCTCTTGGGGTGCCCTTTGCTCGGGGGCTGTCCCTGCTCCGGGGGTGCGGGATCCTGCTGCCGCTGTCCCCGCTGGCTGCGGGGTTTGCAGGTTTCTGCCTCTCCCCAGGGCTCTCTCCGTGCCTGGCGGTGCTTCCACCCTAACCCAGGGGCTGGGGAGCTCTCCTGTCCTGTTCTGCCCCCGGGGTCGGGGTGTCCCTGTGGGCTTGGAGGACCCCAAACGGCCCGGGGAGGGTCCCCGGCAGCCACAGCAGATCCCTGACCCGGGGGATTCGGGTGGGATCCCCACAGGGGCCGCTGCCGCTGGGGACCCTTTGCCCTTGGAGGACGGAAGGGGGGAGGTCGGCAAGGTGAGATTATTTCGGTCTGGGGAGGGAGGAGCTGGAGGTCTCTGCCTGTCCCAGCCAGGGGAGCACAGACTCCTCACCTTTGAAATGGGAGAGGTCCCTGTAGCACCCATGGTGTGGGGTTCCCTTCTCTCCCCGGGATGCCCCCCCTGCTCTGGCACTGGAGGTCCCCTCGTTCCCCCAGGCGACCCTGAAATGTCCCAGCCTCAAGGACTGCAGGTCCTCAAGTGCCCCTGGGTGGTGCCCACCTGCCCTGGAAGTCACGAGTGTGTCTGTCTGTCTGTCCCACAGCTTCCCCAGGGGTGCAGGGTCCTGCCTTGTCCCCTGGGGTCCCCACATCCCAGGGGTGCCCCCACTTGCCCCAGGGGTTGGAGGCTCTTCCTGCCCACCCCAGGGTCCTGTTCTGGGGATCTTGTCTCTCCCACGGGCTCCCCACCTGCCCCCGAGTGTATCTCCATGTGAGTCACAGACTGAGGGTCCCCAGGTGTAACTGGGGAGCCCCACTTGGCCCAGGGGCTGTTCCTTTACCCTGGGGATCCCCTCTGACCAGGCGCCCCCTGGCCAGGATGTTGGGATCCTGTCTGTCTCTGGGTGCCCCCTCTGCCCTGGGCCTGAGGGTGCCTGCTTGCCCTGGGTGGTGGAGGGTGTGGGGCTCTTAATGTGTCATTTGGGGTGTCCCCACATGCTCCAAGTGCTCAGGGGGCTCCCAGCAGCCCTTACCTCCTCCAGGGGTCCCAACTGTGCAGTGAGTGAGGAGGCAGGGGGAGAGAGGGGCAGGTGGGATCATTGCCCTGAGGAGGAGGGGTCCCCAGCTGTCCTCAGGGATGCCCTTGTGGGAAGGGGGACACAAAGCCCTTGAAGGGGAGGGGATGGGGTCCCTGGCCCAGGGGGTGCTGGGCAGAGGCCCCCACAGGGTTCCTGTCTGAGGTGGGTCCTCTGCCCTTCTACCTTGGCCTGGGGGGTTCCTGTGGGATGGGGATGTCTGTCTGTCCTCAGGGGCTCACCCTTGACAGCAGGGGCTGTCCCTGGCCTGGGGGATCCCCACTGGAACTGGGGGGGCCCCTTGCCGTGGGGGAAAGAAGGGTTCTCCTGCCTTCCCCAGGAGGGTGGAGATCCATGACTGTCCCTAGGTAGGGGACCTCACCTGCCTTAGGGACAAAAGGGTTGTCTCCCTCTGTCCCCACATGTCCCTTCCTGGTGTCCCTGCACACTCCAAGCTGTTGGGGGTCCCTGCCAGCCCCAGGGTCCCTGTCTGGTGGGGTTGGGATGTCACACCTTGCTGTGCTCCCGTTGGAAGGGGGGAATTGTGTCCCATGTGCTTGTGGGGGTCCTGCCTGGCCCCATGGCACCTCCTTTGGCTGTGGGGGTGTTGGGGGTCTGCCCTGGAGGTTGGGGGTCTCTGCCTGTCCTGGAGTGTCCCACATGCTCTCCACAGGTGTGTGAGTTACAGCCTACCTCCTCTGGGGGCTGATGAGTGTGGTGAAGGTGATGAAGATGGGGAGGGTGATAAAGATGGTGAGGGTGCTGAGGCTGGGGCTGGTGAGGATGGTGAGGATGATGAGAAAGGTGAAGATGAGGGATAGTGAGGGTGATGAAGATGGTGAGAACAACAAGCATGGTGAGGCTGGGGCTGATGAGGATGAGAGATGCTGAGAACAGTGAGGATGGTGAGGCTGGGGCTGATGAGAAGGGTGAGGGATGGTGAGGGTGATGAAGACAGGGACAACAATGAACATGGTGAGGCTGGGGCTGATGAGGAATGGTGAGAACAGTGAGGATGGTGAGACTGAGGATGATGAGAGGTGGTGAGGGTGATGAAGACAGTGAGAACAGTGAGCACAGTGAGGCTGGGGCTGATGAGAAGGGTGAGGATGATGAGGGATGGTGAGCACAGTGAGGCTGGGGCTGACGAGGAGCACACCGTGTCTGTCCCACGCAGGTGTTCCGCGTGGAGGTGCTGTGCAATGGCCGGCGGCACACGGTGACCAAGCGCTACAGCGAATTCCAGGCGCTGCACAAGCGGGTGAGAGCCCCCAGCTCTGCAGGAGGGGACGAGGGAGGCCCGGCCTCACCCTCTCTGGCCTGCCCTGATCCCCCCACACCTTCCCCAGATCAAGAAGACCTGCAAGGTGCCCGACTTCCCCCCACGCCATGTGCCCAACTGGATGCCCAAAGCGCTGGAGCAGCGCCGGCAGGCCCTGGAGGTTTACCTGCAGGTGGGGGTGTATGGCAGGGTCAGGCTGGGTTTGAGGGGTGAGGAACACATGGTGGTGGGTTTGGGAGGGGTTTATGGGGTGCTGACCCCCCTGGGGCATTGTAGGGTGTGCTGTACCACAACAAGGAGCTGCCCCAGGACATCCTGGACTTCCTGAAGGTGCGGCGGTGCCAGCAGAGCCCCAAGGGCAGCAGCCCCCCGTGAGTAATGAGTTCTGCCGGCGCCAGGGTTATCCCACATGGCACTGGGATTGTCCCCCTGCCCCTAACGAGTACCTGGGGTTGGGGACAGGCTGAGGACTGGTGTCCCCTCTCCCACAGCAGCACCAGACTCCTGCCCCCCCAGCGCCCCACTGTCGGCTTCTGCTCGGATCCCTACGTGCGGCCACACGGCCCCGGTAAGGAGCAGGGCAGGGGAGCAGGGCTCCAAAACCTCCAAGAGGCTCCTACAAAGGTGCTTCTCCTTCAGTGGGGCCCAGGAGGGACCCAGCTGTTACAGCACCCCCATTTCCCTGCAGAGCTGCTCCCCAACACTGTCCTCAGCGGGGTCCTGCAGGGCCTCTACCTGCCCCTGAGCCGTGTCCTGGCCTGGCAGCACCCCCAGCCTCTGGAATGATGAGTTCCACCCAGCACCTGGGGATGCAGTGGGGAGAGAAAGGATCCTTGTGGTGAAACTCACCCCTGCCTGCTGGGAGAAGCTGAAGGGACGTTGGGAATGCTCTCCCACCACCATGCAAAGTGCCTTTGTTGGCAGAGCAGGAGCTCTGCCTTCCCCCCTGCTGCTGTGGGCTCGCAGAACGAGCCCTTGGATGCTGAGTGGTGCTGGAAAACCTCCCTGCATCCAGGCTTTGGTGCAATAAATCTCCTGGATTTGACTGACTGGCAAAGTGCTGTGCTGTGGAATTCTCCAAAGCAAACCCAGGGCCAACTGTGGCACTGCTCCCAGCTGGATGAGATGATAAAAAAGGAAGGTTGGAAGGGGGGCTGGAAGTTGAGGGGTGCATCTGGCTGAGGGATGCAGAGTGATCTGCACCCCTCTGAAGGCAGGAGAGAGGCAGCTCTTTAAAAAACACATTGGTCACATTTATTGGCGCATGTGCTTCTTACAAAAGTGATGGAAGAGCAGCCTGTGCCCTGTCCCACTGGCTGGAGGCAGCAGGGAGAGGGGCTGGCACTGGGACACAGCAGGACCCGGTGGCCCCAGGGCAGGGGAAGCACAGCAGCCCCGTCCCACAGCCCCTCACAGCCTGGCAGGGCCTGGTCCCTGGTCCCGTCACTCCTTGGCGATGGCAAAGGGCTTCTCCACCTCGATGGTGCCACAGTCAACGATGGTGACGTCCTTGAGGGGCTTGTCCCGGCTGTCTGTCTTTGTGCTCTCCACCTTCCTCACCACGTCCTGGTGGGGCACAGTGGGACACTGAGCACACCCAGCTCAGCCAAGCCCTTCCCACAGCACCAACCCTTCCCTGTCCCTGCCTCACCATTCCCTCCAGCACTTTGCCGAACACCACGTGCTTCCCGTCCAGCCACGGCGTCTTCACGGTGGTGATGAAGAACTGGGAGCCGTTGGTGTCCTTGCCAGCGTTGGCCATGCTCACCCAGCCTGGCCCGTAATGCTTCAGCTTGAAGTTCTCGTCAGGGAAACGGTCCCCGTAGATGCTTTTCCCTAAAGGGGAGGACAAAAAGGCCACAGTGGTCTCATGGAATATGGCAGGTAGGGGTGATGGTGGTGGTAGCTCCAAAATGAGGCGGGTGGGGGAATGAGCAATTCCAGAGCAGGGACTAGCACTGATGCCACAGGGATGCATGAGCCATGGGCTGCTGCAGGGAGCTGGACAGGGGTGTTGTGCCAAGGGAGAGGAGCAGGAGGCTCCCAGCACTCAATTCTGAGGCCATGTCTTTGTGAGCTCTATGCCTACTTGATTCCACCCAGCTCCAGCTCTACACTGGTGCCAGGGACAGCCCTGCAGTGGCTGGAATTGCAGCTGCTGACTCGCTCCAAGACAGTGGCCTGGATCCACCAGGTTACCTCCAGTGCCATCACCGCGGGTGAAGTCTCCTCCTTGGATCATGAAGTCCTTGATCACACGGTGGAACTTGCTGCCCTTGAAGCCAAATCCTTTCTGGGGGTGTGGAGGGAGAATACGGAGTGAGGCAAAGGGACAGACCAGAGCTCCGTGGCCCCAGCGCTGCCCCAGGGCACCGAGCAGGACCCGGGGAAGCCCAGGGTGCCGCGGGCCCCTCACCTCTCCGGTGGCCAAGGCCATGAAGTTCTCCACTGTCTTGGGCACCGTCTTGCCGAAGAGCCCGATGACCACACGGCCCACATCCTCCTCACCGATCCGCAGGTCGAAATACACCTTGGGTGGAGGGAGGCAGGTTAGGGGGGATCAGGGGAGCCAGACTCACCTTGCTGGGCCAACCCACCCCCAAAAGTCCAACTTTAACTCCAACCAGGCCCAA